CCAGAGTATTGTCTGCTCCTGAACCTTTGCAAGAGCTGTTTTAGTTATTTCTAAATTAGGCGCTTGCACAGATCCTACCTGTGAAAGGATATTATCCATTTTATAACAACCACAGTTGTTACAAATAAAGTAATAGTCCACATTGATTTGACAGAGGAAAGAAGGGTGATACTGGGTTCTCTTATCCCAGTTACATGGCCGTGCTGGTTCTGAGTAAGTTGTGTATTTAAAATACTCCTCTGAACAGACAGCTTCACTAAAACCTTCTAGCTCACATCTTTGAAGGCAGACTGTAAGGAAATAAAGAAGGCAGGGATGGTGTTTAAGTCTATCAACCAATTATAGTTATTTCTACACAGATTTTTGGAGAGAGTCTTTGAAGCTACCAGCAGCTTCACTGGTCCCAAACTGATGAGATTTAACGAAGTATGTAGAAGCTATGATGCTGTTAATATCCTGGCACAATCCATCCTGTACCCTTCTTCAGCTAGTGGCAGTGTGTGAACTCAATCATCAAGTCAGTTAATAATTTTTTATGAGTTTTGTATTTATTGTGCATTCATCTTCAGCAAGTGAAATATATCTTTATCTTTCTTTAGACATGTTTTAAATATAGATAGCTTTGGAGTGGCTTTGGCCAAGTAGAATCTTCTACTTTGCTTGAAGTTGGACCAGTTTGATGACAGTTTTTTGGGGTTTTGGGGTCCTTTTGGAGACTTTATGGAACAATAAATCTGGCGATGGTGAATCTGTAAAGAGGCAAACAGTTGTAAATAGGAACCAATCTGTAGGTTGTTCTTTTGCTTGTTTATTAACCCTGAGCATGTCAGGTTCTACCTTGGCATGCTTAAAGGTTCAGGTTTTGGCATGCTCAGAACTGACCAACTGTACAGTCAAATCAAAACGAATGGTATTTTAGCCATCTTCTTGGCATATAAAACTACATTTCTTCTTGCAGGAATTGCAGGGTTTGATGTGGGTAAACGTAGGCATTGGGAGATGTGGGGCTTGCTTTTGCATTGTATTCAGTTATACACAAGTAAAGCGTTGTTCTTCCTGAAACACTTCGCATGGAACCTAATGTGCGGTTGCTGTACTATGGGAAATATGCTTTTAGAGGTTTTCTGTAACCTTCATGATTTTTTTTTTTTAACTTTTTAATCAGGTTTTCGGTAAGATACCAAATACCCCCTCTAGTGGCTGATAACCTCCAAAAAGGTGTTTGCTTTCTTAGGACAAATGTAACAGATAAGTAGCACCTTGCAACTACGTGACTGCTAAAGCGCATTGAATTGCAGACTAATTCTTCATGAGAGAGAGGCTGGCCTTTGTGATTCTTAAGCGTTGTGTTGCCCATTAAGATGAAAAATACTGAGCTCTAAAGTTAGGAGGGAGTAACTGCAATCATTACTCTTTATTCAAAACCTTTTGGTTTTCCCTGCTCTCAAGAAATTTATGACATTGATAGATTTCCAAAAGGTAATGGGAATGGAGAGCAACCGTTGCATTTTGCAGATCCTACTGAGTGGTAGACTGATAAAATGACAGAGGTGATAGGGCATAATTTTTAAGATTACAACATTATGCAAAAATTTATTTCATAACTTATCTCAATCTAGTTATTAATGAAAAAACAATTTTATATCACCCTCTATTTTAGAAGGGTGAACACTTTTTTTCTAGGTTAGGGGATGAGAAAATTAAAAAAAGTACATTTGTCTGACTAGCTAAATTCTGTGTATATTGGTTTCTTTGAAGAGAGTATGAGGCAGGTCTTCAGTGTTATGAGCTGCTGTCATGGTAGCAATGCAGGCAGAGGGTTTCATCAGCCATGGTAAGCAGTATCTCTATAGTGACTGTGGTGTGTAGTAGGAGTGCTTTTTTCATTTGGGGAATTCTCAAAATAGGTCAGCCTGTTAGAGATCTGGGATGCAGTGACCTTTAGTGGACCGGAAGATAGGTATCATCTATTGGGTTGAGTCCATAAGGATATTAAAAGAACATACTTGTAGCTGGGTAAGTGTTTTGTTCTTGTGCATACTAATATTACAGTCAACAGCAAGAGATCTTTCTTAACGGGCTTGTAGGAGTATTCTCATTGAGATCAATGGGATTACTTGTGATTAAAGCTAGGCAAGCATATAATTCCTTTTAGAATTTGGGTTTCAGATTAATTTAACAACAAGAGAAGGAAAAGAAGAAACCTATAGTTTTGTTGTTTGTTGTAGGGCATTGTTTTATATAGATATTTCAGTGCAAACTTTAGTTATAATCATATTTTCTATATGTCTGATCTTTGTAGGATTTCCTGTCATGAAGAAGAGAGGTTGTAATAGTACCTACTTCTCACTTTGCACTTATTGTCAGTAGGTCTGAGAGTGCTTTACAGAAGAAAAAGGTTCTCACTGTTCTGGAACTGGGGACTGATAGGAAAGGGGATGTGATTTGCTTGCCTTGGGTCAACCAGTGAACTTCTGTGAGAAAGTAAGAATACAGCCTGGAAATACAGCTTTCCTGCTTTTCCCCAGCCCAGCTCTGCATTCTTTAGGCCCTCTGAAGAAGAAGGAGCTCGTAGAAAGGACTGCAGTAATTGGCAGGAAAATGCAGGGGCAGATGTAGTAAGTTAGAAAATATTTCAGAACATTTTTCTGTATTTGTTCATCATCATGTTCAATTGTATTGTAGCAAAAGGTTGGAAGCCTCTTCTGACATCAGATTTTATCTGCAAAGCACTTGTCAATCTATCAAGTGAGGTGGAGAAGCCTCTTCTCTCAGTAGGTGACACAGCAAAAACCAAATGAGCGACATAAGCAAGGGAAGGGAAAGGGCTGAGATTCTTGGGCGTGTCTCGTGGGCTGTCCTGTCATCTACACCTCTTGTGATTAGCTCTGAGCAGTTTTCCCAGAAATGAAGGTACGGAAAAGTAGTTCTCAAAATTTATTTAAAAAAACCAAAAAAAACCACAAAAAGCTCTCAATTTTAAAGTGTTAAGAGTAAGCATGAAATAGCAGTTCCTTTGTATGAAATAGGTATTTAAGCAGAGTCTCAGTACTTAGTGTTCAGACACTTAGCTCTGCAGAGACTACTCTGGGGGCTTTATTGCTCTTCAGGGAAGCTAGGGGACATGGTTCATAGTCCCCAGGGACCTGGCAGGATTCAGCTTAGTGATAGCTTTAGTGTTTATGCAGATGTTAAGTCAAAAATGTAGTGAAGGATATTTCATGCTTTTTCCCCCACTTTTTTTAGTTAGTATTTTTAGCTTTATTCAGGGTTATTTTCTCAGGCACAGATCAGTAGTGTAGCAATACTGTTGTTTGGTCACCTGGAAAATTAGCATCTGTGAATCACTGATAGCTCCAAACCACTCCATTCTTCTGAATGGACTTTACTGCAAAGTAATTGACTTGCTGCTTGTTAAAATTCTTCTCTCTTCTCTCTCTTTTCTCTGTGTCAAATTCACTTTCAAAAACTGTTATAGATCATTAAAGCCTGAAAGAAATTTTGGGGACATTTTGTGGCTCTCTTTGCTTTAGGCATATGCTAATTAGCCACATAAAAGCAGTTCTTTGCTTAAAAAGTAGCAGTGATGAGGCTGCAGTTATATGCAATTGTTTATTTACCCACCAGAAGTTTCACAAGACATTCTGCAATTCAGTCCAGAGCAGTTCCTGGAAGCTTATAATAAGTAACAGTTTAATTTTTTTTTAAAGGAGATATTTTTATAAAATAAAAGCTGGAGACCTTCATGTCTATCTTGAATTAATTTTTCAGGTGCCCCTAAGCAGGCTCAGTACTGTCTTGGGTAGTTTCAAACTTAACAGTGTAGGTATATGGAAATGTAATTTGAGTTTCAAACAAAATGAACCTGACTGAAGATAAGTCCCAGAGATATGTAGAGAAGCTATTTTAAAAGTGTTTTTCCTCTTCAGACTAGCAACCAAATCTGAATCACAACGGGTGACTACAGGCAAGAGAACAGAGCAAAATGGTCATTCTTAGCCATGCATGTACATCACAGACCTTCTGTTTCAATCCTCCACAGTGTGGAATATGTCACATATTAAAACCAGGTCTTCAGATTTTTTCAGTTCTTCTCATGGTTTTATATTACTTCTATGAGATGATTTTGCTTCAAATATGGAGTTGTAGGCTGTGGAAAGCCATGTGATGGGTGTCAAGACCACTGCAGACTCTGGGATTGGCAGAACTGTGTTTAAATAAAAGTTTTCCTCCTGCTCAGGTATTAATGCTGGAGACAGCATATCTGGTACAACTGCAGTTCTTTATTATCAGCCATCTACTGAATAGAGTAAAGGTGCTTGTTTGGTAGTTTGGCAGCATCTGTCCATATATCAGTGTAACTATATCAACTTCAACTTTAGCAGTCAGCTGGAAAACCATAATTTAATTGGTGAACCTGCATATAAATGTGAAACAATGCAGGCATATTGTCCAAGTGGCATTTAAAAGCCAGGAAGAAAAGTCCCCTCTGGCTGTTTCCAAAGTACAGTGGTGCCAGTTAGGATGAAAGATTGTTTTCTGCTGGCAAACCTCTGTGAGCATTGGTGTCTTGAAGTTATTACTCACTCAGCAAGAGCTGGTGTGCCTGTCAGAAGGCTGTGGCCTGGGTTGTGATAGCCAGAGAGATGGGGGGAGAGATGAAGAGCTGTTGGCAGGGCAGGTATTTAAGTCCATAACAAACAACTCTCAAGGAAAATCTACATGGTTGCTCTATTATTTCCAGGTGCTGCTGTTTTCCTCTGAAATGTGGATAATGTAGATGGTCTTGGCAGGTTTTTGAGAAAATTTCTGATTCTCATTTTATGTTCAATTAATGTTTTGAAGAGAAGTGGTGAAGAGCATTGGGGGTTACCTTTCTGGCTATCTTTTTCTTGCAGAAGACTTTACTTTTCTCTCTAGGTTGCAGTAAAAGCAGAGCAAAAATAATCCATCATGCTAACTGAATTCAAACAATAAAATTTTTTGCCTTTTTATTTAAGATCTTCAATTGGGAACCTGTGCAGGATCTCCTTCCAGGAGGTACTTCAGCATATACAGAAGTGCGTAACTGTTTCCTGCAGAAAAGAAAGGTATTTATGCCTTTGGATAGGCTGCTAAATTGGAGTATTTGTGAGTTTTTCCTTGGTAAAAGGAAACACTAACAACATTAACAGAATCCACTCTGTTTAGCTTCTGCTTTCTATGCTCTGGGCAGATGTTTCGTGCTAAGGGTAGACAATGAGAGCAAGATGTGGTGGCGCAGGTTGTAGCATGTACCAACACCCTGAGTACAGCATCCACCAGGTCTCTGGGTGTTTGAAATCAGAAAGTTAGGGCTGAGAGAAACCTCAGATTTTCATCTTGATGATTTTACAGTGACTGCTGTTGTCTGTCTGGTGTTTTCCTCTAAACTTCTGTTGAGGAAGGTTCCGCAGCCCTCATCTCAGGGCTCTGCTGCAGTAAGAGAGGAAATATTTTTTATGATGTCTAAACAATAATTTCATCTGAAGGGAGTGCTGGAAAACTTCCTCAGTCTGCTACCAAAAATCAGTAAAAATAAAAACTCCTCAACGCCAGTAGCATCATGAAGCCGGCATTCTTTATTTGGCCAGATGCACAAGGAGATATCTCCTCCAAAAATCATGCATGCTGAATACAGAAGAGGTCCTGTTTATATACTATATTTTACATATATATTCATTAATTTTCCCAGAAAAAACATACGTATGATAATAATTTCCCAAAAACATTAACATATTTTCCCTCCCCTTTACATATGTGTTCTTTTGTCCTGGGTTCTCTTTGGTGTTCCCTGGTGGTACTTGACAACAGTATTTTCAGATTAAATATTTATCTGTGAGGTTTTGCTACTCTTAAGATGCATGTGGCACTTGAAGCAGTACGCTTTAAAACACCAGGCTGAGATTGCTTCAGGAAAGCCTCCTGCATCAGTGTTATGTTATTGCCTGTGACATTATGTGAGTCACTCATTCATATTTCTGGGAACAAGAGTTTGTAAACTGCAGGGAAAATGCAGGAGGCTTACTGAAATTCTTTATAGATCATGGGAGAAGGTGCTTGTACTCATTCTGTAACATCTAGACATGCCATGAGAAATTTTCTTGAAGGAGAGATAATTCCTAAGTTCTGCCTTTTAGCTTGCTTCTGCACTACTTTGCATGTCCTTAGTGCTATTGCACAAAACAGAGGTAAACCTCACTTCCCTCAGGCTTATCTCAGTGAGTGTTAGCAGTTTTGAGATGTTGAGTCCCACTTGTGATTGCGCTGGGGGGGAACACTGGTGCTGGGTGATGGATTTCTTTGGACTTACTCCATTGTTTGTTTTGCTGCTAAATTTTGCAAGAATATTTGTTTTTGGGTTTTTTTTGTTTGTTTCTTTGGTTTTGTTTTTTTTTTTTGGGGGGGTTTTTTTTTTTGTTAATTGCTTATGCAGGAAATACACAGCAGAAGCACAGAAAGCTCAGCAGCAGAGGGGTGATGGTACAATGATATATTGGTGTAGAATAAATTATCCTCTTCAGCTATTTGCCTTTCTCAGCTCTTTTTCTGCGTCACGCAGGGCTCATCTCCCTTGGTAAGAGGAGCCGCTTGTGCTGGCTGTCAGTGGGGAAGAGCTTCTACAGCAGTTGGTGGCAGCCACCATCCCCCTTGCCCCCATTCAGAGGGGACCTGCGGTGAGCCTGGCAAGGCTGCCTGCAACCCGGCCAGGGTGGGTGCTGCTGTGATGCGAGAGGCATTCCTTAGTCACTGCATGTGAGCATGAAAGACATCTAATCTTCTCATCAGCTCTCTTTGCTTTCATATAGCCAGTTAGGAAAGGGTGGAGAAAATGCTTTGGGATCCTGTTGCATCACTTACAATATGACTTTTTTTTTCAGTATGACAGGAACCAAAGTTCATCAGCCTTCAAAATGCCTCTGAAATCTTTTTTATTTAAGCTTTAACAGAGATCACTGATTTTAAGAAAAAAGGTGTGAAAGGCAGGCAGAGCAGTTTGTAATTTGCGTTTCCTATTTCATCATTTTTGTACTTGAAAGATTATTGTGGCTGTTGTCCTCTTGTAAACGTTTGAAAGAAGAAGTAAACTTTTATATATTCATCTGGGCTCTCAGATGAGAATTCTCTATTCTGCTCTTACCTGGTTTGTAACAGTTCTGAAAAACACCTAATTCACTTTTCTCTCTGAGCAGCTGCAGATTTTGGTGTGTGAGCAAAATAAGGGTGATAAAAAGCCGCAGCAGGGATGCAAACACAGCAGTTTTTCTCTTACCTACGTGTGTAAGCAAAGGTTCCAGAACATGCATTTAATATCTGTCTCTTTCAGTGTATTAGCCACTGAACCCTTGACCTGGACCAAATGGCTGGTTGCTATGGCAACAGGTTGCACAGTAACAGGTTTTGTTCTTAGGTTGAAATCATCTTGCTTCTCTTAAATGTTAGTTTTGAGGAGATCAGAAGAAACTAGAAAATTCTTTTTCAAAGGAGAGGCAAAAATGTTGATGTTCAGCTACCTGAGTATCTAGAGAGAGACATTCTTTGTTCCCTGAAGAAAGTAGTCAGCTCCCCCACTTTCTCCACTTTGTTGAAGCTGAAGTCAGCAGCTCACCAGCAAACCCTTTTTGTAAAGTGAAAAGAGACACCCCCCAAAAAAAAAAAAAAAAAAAAAAAAAAAAAAAAAAAAAAAAAAGTTCTTGGAAACAACATGACTGTAGGAGGTTCAGGGGAATTTGTTTGCTGTAGAACTCCAACTCCCAATCCCGCTGAAGGATGGGAAAATATTAACAGCTTAACACTCCACTAACCTTGAAAATTTCTGACCTAAAAGTCTAAAAGTAAGCTCCTGATCAGCTCTTTTCAAGCTGGACTTGTGAGAGACTGGAAAGATTGATGTCTCGAGATATTATGGGCTGCATGTGTGTGGAGGAAGGGGCAGTGCTCTGCCTTGTGCACCCTAGAGCCTCTATCCCAGCCTGGCAGTGGCTGCCAGTCCCCGGCACACCAGAGGCAATGCTCCACCCCACCTCTGGAGCCCCTAGCCCTGAGTGGCCAAATGACCAGAAGTCCCACCTGGGGGAAGGGCCCAGGAAGGCCAAGGGGTATTTAAGGCCCACAAGGCAGTCAGATGTCTTGACTGTACTGCCTCTTGGAATGCCTGTCTGTACGCCGCTGGAACACAGGAGCTGGTAGCTAGGTTTGATTTTTTTCTACCTTTTCTGGTTTTCTTTCTTTCTTGCTCTCCTAATTCCCACTTCTTGGACCTTTGAGTAACTTAAAATTGAACTGTCTTTGAGTTTGCAAAGTTGAATGAGCCAAGTTAATGCTTTAAAAACTGTTACCTGTTGATTGAATGTTGCACTAAACTTGCCAAATTTCTCTGATTTTCTAAAGTCGCAAGTAAAATCTTTTTTGTTGTTTTGACCTCTTGAGAATAGCTTCTTTCTCTTGTGCATCTAACTCAGAGTACGTGAACAACCATAAGCCCTTTTAGGTCTCATTGATCCTGGTTGTTTGGAGCCTTACAATACTAAAAAAAGTTCTTGCTGTGACAGTGGTCAAACTGTGGCTGGGGCATGGGAGGTTGAAGGATTGCCAGCCATAGGGACAGTCAGCTGAGTGGGGTTTGGATTGGGTGACCTTCTGGGGCTACTTCCAGCTGAGGTCATTCTGCAAGTCTGTCTGTTTTTCTCTTTGGCCACAGAGAAAAGCAAATGTGATGGAGAGCCCAGACCAGGACTCTGCCTGTGGGTGGTACTGAAAATGAGTTTTGTGGTTACATTGTCCTTCTTTACCACCCCCCCACCCTCCACCGAGCCTCAGCCCTACGCACTTTTCTTCCCTGGCGAATAATGTCATCGTGCCATACCTCAAATACTTGGTAATAAAATGTCACTGTAATTCTCCTAGAGAACTCTTTGATATATCACTAATTTATTTCCTTACACTAAACATGCTGCTCTGTGTTTTACCTTTGTATCTTTTTGGCATATGTAAAGTGAGTGGCATTCAGCACCGTAGGCAGGAGCTTAAAGTAAAACAAAATACAGACATGGCATGTGATTGGAGAGGGGATCTTTTTTCCTTTGTGCCAGCAGCTGTCAACCTCTTGCGCTGCCAAAACAGTCACTTATGGCTTTGCTGCTGCACTGTGATCCTGTCAGACAAGAGGCACAAGGAGGGTTAAGTGGGGTTGTCCATTTATCCATCTCAATCTCAGAAAGATGTGAAGGGCTGCAGCCAAGTAGTGTAAACAATCTAAAGAGTTCACTCAAATGAAGGGATTGGCAGTGGCAGGAAGAAGACTGAAACAAGAAACAGAGGTTGAAGGGATGCTTTCATTAGATGGAAGGAACAAAAAATGAAGAGGGTCTGATCAGACATGACTCATTTTAGGCCATTTTCCTGTAAATCTTCAATTAATTTACAAAGTGTTGCTAGTCCTCAGAGTGCTGGAACAGTGCAGGTTGGAAAGGTTTCATCAGTTGTCAAGTACTTCCACAGATCAAGAGCAAATCATAAAACCAGCAGAAGAATTTATTGCCAGAGGCCCAGCAGCTGAGCCAGTGAGTGCAATACCTGTCTCACCCTCTATATTATGCAATTGTGTCAGCAATTGCATTTGGGAGTTGCAAATCTTAAAGAGATGCCTGCTTGTCATTAAAGAGATGTCAGAGCTTTCTTTGGGCATAGAAATGTCAAGCAAGCATCTTGGTCAAATTCAGTGGTTGGTTACATCTTGGCGTCGTAGGATGTGCTGGTGGTTATGTGGGGAACGCAAAGATGCTCTCTGCTTCCTGTCCCAAAGTATTACAGCTATGCTGCTGAGCACTGGGACTGTGTGTGTGGCACTGTGCTGCAGGCACTCAGGAAATCAGCAGGGTTTATATAAAGAAAGCTCTGCTGGGTTTGCAGAACCTTTTGGCTCCTTTCCAGCTTGGAAGTGGTAGTATAAATATAAGAATGTCTCACCTTTGAAGTCTGCCTTCTATTCATGGAAAGGAAGAACTTTGCTGGAGCTGTGATTTAATAGCTGTTAAATACAAATCTCAAGACCAGTCCTATGACAGGCGGAACTGCTGGATCCCATTTCAATGGGATGTGAGTGAGCTCAGTAGCCTATAGCATCACGTCTCTGTTAGCTGGTTGCTGACACCTGAATAAGGTTTGGTGCTATGAAAGCAGGGATCAAGAGTATCCATTCTCACACCTTCTCTCCCAGTTGCGCCTGTCCCTGTTACAAGAAAAAAAAAAAAGTTACCTTTTTTTTTCTTTTGGACAGATTAGCAAAATGTTTGGGACAGTGGTGGTTGGAGTTGGAATTGCTGGATTAGCACGAATCCGAGACTTGATGAATCCGATGCCTTCCAGCCCTTCTGAGCACCTGAAACTCTTTGGATTTGTATCCAGGTTAGAAATTTCATCTTAGCATGTCTAATGTGTGTATTGCAATGCTTTTTCTTCTTTTTCAAGCCAAAAAGGGAAAGTTCATGCAAATATGCCCATCATTCTGAGTGGCAGCTCAGAAGTGAGCACAGAAAGCTTTGCAACAGGGAACAAATAGGTTACCCTAGTGAGATATCTTTCAGAAATTACTAAAATAAAAACTGAGAGATGTTCTTGCTGTAGAATCTTCGTGATAAAAAGAAATTGTCTGAGTGAAATTTCTTGTAGATTTAAGGTAGTGCAGTGCGCTAATGATCTTGTGTCTGCCTGACACTTCTAAAAATGTTTAAAAAAAAAAGTTATATGGAGTTTTAAAAAGTTTTTTTTTGCAAAAACATGTTTTAATGCTCCCAGTACTCCAACTTCATAATAAAATTCTAGTATTTTTTTAAACCAGATATTGAACCTGTAGATATCTAAAGAAAATCCCATTATTTGCTACATGCAATAAGGTTGCTTTTTATCCTTCTTATGCTTCTTAAAGAACAAGAGCTTTTCTCACTAGTTTGGAGCTGTGGAAATGTAGAGTGGACCTTCCTCTGGGCAGTCCTGCTGGACTGTCTGACCCATTACAGTGGAGCATAAAAGTTTGAAATAGGCAGTACCTTTAGTGTATGTCAGATTGTGAATGTATATTTCCAGCTGTACTTAAATTGTGCAGGGTTGTTTGAGACTGAAAGGACTGATCACGTCACACACTTTAGCTTCTGACCAAATACACTTTTGGCTCTCTGATGCCTCTGCCAGTGCTACAGGTAACCTTGAAGAGCACTAAAGATAGGGTTTCCACCACTGTTTTTTTGAGAAAAAATGCTGTTGAAATGCATGATTCACAGTAATCTTCCTTGGATCCCCATTACACGCAATCACCACCTGTCTTTGCTTTCAAGTCCTGCTTGTGGCCTGCCTTCCTGCCCTCTGTCACCTATCCTAACACTGACAAGGTGCCTGCTCCAGCCAGTAGTAATGCAAAGGGCTTTTGGAGGGATTGTGTTTTTCATTTTCAGCTGGAGCTGTGCTCAGCTTACTGCCCAAGAGAGCTTTCCCCTTTGCACTGACATGCTGTGTGTGTTGCAAGGTGAGCCATCACAGCCAAGCATCTGTTTTGTCCTTCTCCTGCTTGTCTGTACTTGCAGTTGTGTGCATCCCTGCCATCTTGAGTGCTTTTGTCACATCATCCAGGATGGTGGGAAGAAGTTCTCCTATAGGAACACTGTCCTCTTGCAAGTCACTCTTTTACAACATCTCTTTGGTAATAGTGCTTATTAAAAACCAAAACACCAAACAACAAAAAGACTTGACAGTTCAATAGCAGGCCAGTTTCTAGACTGATACCACCACCTGCACTCTCGTCCATTTTTTTTTTTTTTGTTCTCTTCTCCATTCCACTTTTGTCTGTAAGTGCTCATGCTCTTCCTAGGTAAGGAACTGGTTGTTATACCCTGGTTGAACTCAGTGGTCCATGGGAACAATTTTTAAGTACTGCTACACAACATGTGGTTGGGAAGAATGGACCATGACAATTATACTCTGGTTGTATTTATGCTAAATATACAGGAGAAGTTTTGGCAATATTAATGAGGCTAAGCAGATTAGCCTGGAAGATGCTCTGAGAAACAAAGACATCCATGCAGCCTTCATCAGCACAGAGAACAAAAGCCATGAAGAAACCATCAGGTATGCTGGGGGGAATTTCCCCCTGCTCTTTTTCCCCTTTCCGCTATATTTTAAGAGCACAGAGGAGCTGTGTAAAGCTGTTGCAGGAGAAGATATGAACACTGAGGAAAGACTGCCAGACTAGAGGCCTGAAGTGAGTGATGGTGAATTCCCTAGAGCACCAATAAGCCCTGGAAGAGAGTAGGATTTAAGATGCATTAATTTCCCAAGTAATTCCATTTCCACACCTCTAGGCCTGTGTTTGATGGACAAGCAGCTTAAAACAGGATTTAAAGCCTTTCCTCACAGATTATATTGTGGAAGGGTAGTCCAGTGCCCCACTCCTACTGCTTACATGTCTGTAAGTCGGGAATTGCAGTGCTCAGCGCTGTAGCATTTTAGCAACTTGATGAGAGTGAGAGAATTCTGTGGCAAAAGAAGAATTAAAACCCCACTCCCCTGCTGTTTAAGTGCGTGATGTAGCCACCACACCATCCTTCCTAGGAAAGGTGCCCTTTATTCCTGTTACTCCATGTTGTGCATCTCTCCATGTGAAGCTGCCTGTGGGAATGAGAAACAGCTTGCATGGTGAGAGAGGATTAGGATCATATTATTTTTAATGGCTGATCTTTTATCCCTTTCAGAATGTTCTTAGAAGCTGGGAAACATGTCCTTGTTGAGTACCCTATGGCTTTGTCTGCTAAGGCAGCCCATGAGCTCTGGGAGATGGCTGAGCAGAAAGGTAACACATTTGTTCTCAGAAGTGTAAGCTGTCTTACCTGTTGGGTGACACCAAAGGCACAGAACTCAAAGGCAAGGCTGCAGCCTACTTTTAGTCATCACATGCAAGGGAGTATGACTGTCTCAGAGATGTGCCAGTCTAGGATGTAAGACTTGTGCTAACAGGGGAGCAAACACACAAATGTCAATGCTAAGAGTAAGGTATATATTTGCCCTCACAAAAACTCTAGCCTCTATTTGTAACACTTAGAATGCAGTTAAAGAGGAAAACTTCTGTCACTGTGATAGTTAAGCACTTGATGAGTGCAGCTATCGGACTTGTGCAATTCCCTGTCCTCTCTCCCCCTGGAAATGAAATTGCAGACAGCTTTCCTAGCTTCTAGCATTTGTGATGTGCTGGCCACACACAGCTGCTCATGCTACTGTAGGCCAGCAAGGCATTCCTGTCTGAAAGACAGCTTGTCTATAAGCAAAATCTCTTTATTTCCACAAAGTGTGTGGTCCCATCCCAGTGGTGCAAAGGGTCAGAGGCTGGCAGTTCAGCTGGAGCCAGTGGGGATGAATGGGGCTGCAAGGGGAAGAGCAGTGCTGGGCAGAAGCAGAGTGCAAATCATTTGGACAAGCTGCACTTCTTATGCCACTGCTTCTTAAAGATCTCCTTTGTGACTTTTGTCCTGAAACACTGGAGGTGTAGGATTTCTGCTTTGCTGTTTCCCTGTACCTACACCAGTTACTGCCTTGTTGCTCACCGAATGGTTTCCCATTGAGCAGAATGTTTGGCTCTTTTCTTGAAGCAGCAGCAGTTACTGTTAGCAGCCTACAATGATTCTCCTGGAAATCTTCCAGAAAAACACATACTGAACGAAGGACACATTTAACTTGTATTGGATAACCTCTATTTCAAAGTAGCCCAATTCATTGCAATTGGAGGGAGGTATTCCATAACATACTGTTCCAATCTGAACATTATGCTATTTTTTCCCCTTCCTTTTTCTTTCCTACTGCCTTGGGAGGAAAAATGCAGAACAAGGAAATGTGAAGGGAAAGAGGCCAAGAATTAATCCATCCATTATTCTGAAGACTCATGTTACAGCCTTAGCTGGGTACTGGGTTTCATTAGGGAGTTTCTGTTAAACATAGTGGCTGCTGTTCCTGCAGTCTGTGTATTTGTTGTCTTCTGAAAATCCTTAACCCAAATTGATGCTTCAGCTCAGGGACCATGTTTCCATGTTTGATTTTCTTCCTGACATCACTTTGTGAGCCATGCATGAAAACTTTAATTTAATCTGTCCTGGTGGTGGTTTTTTTGTTTTTTTTTGTTTGTTTGTTTGTTTGTTTTGTTTTGTTATTTTAATGGCAGGTAAAGTACTCCATGTGGAGCACATTGAACTTCTTACTGAAGAGTACAAGCAGCTGAAAAAAGAAGTGGCTGGGAAAGACCTGGTGAAGGGGACATTGCATTTCACAGGTCAGTAGCTCTGAAGAAATCAAAAGTCTGTCTGGATTTGCTCCCCAGTGCTTCCAAGCTTCATTCAGTCCTTTCACACAAGACTGTCTATAAACTGGGTAGAGACACAGGTACTGGTTCTGGATAATTCCCTTGTTGAATCCACATACATCCTTCTGTCCTCAACATGTTCTGAAGGGTTTGTTGTATATGTACTTTGTGCAGCCCTCTCTGCCACAGCTTGTCAACTGATCCATTTCGACATTAAATGGGTTTGTTGACTTTCCTATTCAGTCCATCCACTGACCTTTCTACACCCTGATCTTTAAGCCTGCAACACTGAAGTTTCTTCATCCTTTGCTATGCAGAAGGCATTATTCTACTTCCTGTTCCTCAAGAGTTTCTATTCCGCCAGGTAGTGTCCTTGATGAAAACAAATCAGGATTCCCAGCTTTCAGTGGAATTGCTCGTCTGACGTGGCTAATCGACCTCTTTGGAGACCTCACTGTTACCTCTGCCACCAGAGAGAAGCAGAAGGATAAGGATTATTCCAGAATGACTGTTCACTTTCAGACAGCAAACAAGAAGTGAGTAATGTCTATGGCAGCACGTGAGCCAGGCTCCTCATCATCTGCAGGACTTCTGCCTGCAGGAGTTCTCTTCTCCTCTAGTGGAAACAGGATGGGTGGAGGCTGGCATGAAAGTGTACATGTCTTTTAAAGATGCATTTTATAATACTGAGTTTCATCTCCCTTTTATTATGTGGTGACAATATCCTTCCTATCAGCTAGGATATTTTTAATAGCCTTGCTAAAAAGTGGTATATTATAACGATGAGGTAAGTCCCCAGTATTTCATTCTGCCACTTGACTACTCAGCTTGGTTCAGAGAGTGGTGGAAACTCTCAGGTTTGGTCATTCTGGACCATCTCTGCAGAGTTCGTGTCCTTTCAGATAAGTTGAAGTTTTTTACAATGTCAGTTTTAAGCAACAAGATACAATTTGAGAATTACCTGATATGAAAAGGTAGAGAGAAATTATCTGATGGTGATGGAACTCCTTGTTCCTTTTTTTATTTTATTGCAGATATGCTTGTAGACCTCTTAAAAAGCCCAAACCTAACCCAGTATTTTAGATAAATGTGTAAAGTAGTAACCAGAAGGACTAGCTATTTGGGCAGTGAATAATCAGGGCTCCTTTAAACTCTTAACTTCACCACAGGTCTGGTTAAGCATTTCATCAGCCACTCTAGAAACCCCATTGCAGTTTATCATAGGATTATCATCTTGTCTTAGCAATCTTCCTCTATCTTTAAATAAAATAGCATTTCCAATTCCTTTTGAAATGCACTTGTGAGAGGACAGAACTCTGTATACAAGCTCTGTTTACCCTCTTAGCAATTTGCTAGTAACATAAGTAGCTGTGAAGATCTAGATAGGGTGAGATTTTGAACTAATTCCAGCAGATGGAACTAGCGGGTGGTTTAAACATTTCCCTGGCTGTCCTGTCTCCTGGCTAGTCCTTAGCTGCTATGTATGATATTTGCTGGATACAGAACTGGTTCTGGATTACTTTTTTTTCCCTGCTCCTCAGCACTAACCAATATTTGCTTCTCTTGGCGACTACTATTTGTATGGATCAGTGTTTTCTCACCATAAGTGTTTTAATAACTTTGGGGTCAGTCAGTTTTATGCCTCTGGGATAATTTAGGGTGGGTGGAAAATCACATAGCGTTCCTGTATTGTGTTCGGTGCCGGGGCCATATTTCCTGCTGACCTTCCCCCACTGACGTCAAGGGAGTTACTGCAGGAGAGAATTTGGCCCACTCTCTGTCAAGTGAAGTTATGGCCCAGCAGTAATGGTGGTGGCATTACAGATTTAATTTGCCCAAACTTATTTTGCTGAAGGATGGGAAAGGTCTGTACCTTTCATGAGAACTATCCCATCCTTTTTTGAAAGACATGAATACAGTAACCTTGAGAAATCAGGTTAATTCATCTTATTTTCTGCCTTGGAAAATACAGCAGGTGAAGAATGCAGGAGCCTGTGTTCTGCTTGTTAAGCAGGGATTTGTGTAAAGGGTATAGTCTGTCTCCACTGCACAGCCCACCCTCGCTGCTTGTCTGGCTCTGGGTGGATTTTGGAGGTGTATGTTAATGCCTTCACCCAGCTATTTGAGGGATGACCTCTGCCTTTGTTGTGTGTCCAAGACAGCTGAGTGGACAGCCTCTGATACAACATTGAGCAATCCAGGAAGAGCCAAACCTCTACTGACAGCACATCTGGTTTGGGACTGCAGTTCCTGTCCCAGGATTACAAAGCTTGGATTCAGTAAATGTCAGAAATCAATTTTTAGTGCAAGCTGGAGAGATAATGATTTGGGCAGCATTTCTTTTAATGTTAACTAGGGATAGGGTCCAGTTATCTAATTCTCATCCAAGCTAAGGGAGCCTCTCATTGATTTAATGATAAATTAAAAATATTGGCATTTTCAAAGAGTTACAAGGAAAATGTTTAGAAGAAGTTCAAGAAATTTCCTAAACATATACTGACAAGAAATGTTTGAAGTTATGTTTTTTTGAAGGCAAGCCTTCAGAGTCTAATAAAATATCTTCAAATTGAACAGTCATAGAAAATGATGTAATAGATGCTTTCTGCAGAAGTCGCTGCATAAAATTTTAAGCTGAATGGACCCAGAATTCTTTCAAGCATGAAACCAGATTAATTCTTCTGGCAGTACAAAGAGTGTTTGCTTCATATTGGTTTGTTGAGCTATTGCAGTCCAGCGAGGTCCACTTGTTATTTGAGGAAAAAGGGAATTAGAAAAGCAAAAAGTCTTTTTCAATGTAGCTGAGAGAATGCTATCAGTTTACAATTTGGAAAGACAAAATGGCCATAGAAAGTCAGGGTGTTTTCTTCACTGCAGACCTGTTTGCTTTGCAGTCAGTATAAAGGTGGTTTGTTAGTGCTTGATTAAATTTTCTTTTTCTTTAACTACCCAACATATGTAACCTGACTTTATTCAGATATCAAAAATGTTGGATTTGTTGCATGTAAGTAACTCTACTAACACTTCTAAATAACTAAGCGTATCTGTAGCTAGATAATACTTTGATACAAATCTTTAATGAAAGTGGGTAAATTGTCTATGAAAAAAGCCACAGCCCTTCACAATTTTCTGACATAAAATGCAAATCTGTTTCTTAAGCTACAAAATTGCTTAAATAATGTGTGGGCTTGCAACATACTAATCTTTATAGCAAAACAAGAGGCGTATTTCAGAGTAGAAGTTGTTATTAATTAAAAATGAATACATTTTGCTTACCAATCAAGTAGAATCTACCTCTGTTTGGGAATATGACTAAAAATCCAATTGCAGAAGAAGATAAATATATTACTAAATCCCACATTTTCCTCCTCACTGATCTAAATCAGTCATTCTAATCACTTTGAATAAATTCTGCCTGCTCTGCGTGTTTGTGCTTCTGGTTCAGTGGCTTCCCAAGCTGGAGCAGAAGGCATACACTTGAGCCTGATCACTGGTGTGCATCTGCTCTAGATCACCCCAGGGAGGTGATCCTGCACTGACAGGTCCTGGTTTGGATCCTATCAAGAGGTCCTTGCTATTACATGATGGAAATCTTTGCCTGTGCCTGCCCAGTGGTTGCTTCATGCCTACCCACCTGAGATAAAGCAGCTTTGAGTGACAGTGGCCTGAATCCTCTGTGACTCTTTACTATCATAGGAATATAAAACCGGCTCTGTCAAGTCAGAGCAAAGCCCAGCTGAGCCCAGCTCAGCAACCTGCCTCTGACCCAGATCAACGGCCTTTACCTCAGGGAAGTAGGATGGGAACACTGAAAACACTGAGCAATATGTCCCCCAAACACCCTTCTGGCTTGCAGTAACATGTAGTCCTGAGTCTTCCTAAAACACATGGTGCCTTTGCATTTATTAGTCTTCTGAGATTTTTTTTTGGTGCATTCTTGCAGACTGTGATTTGGGTATTTTTTCCCCCTCCAGTTGTTTCATTCTGTTCAATCAGGTTTATCTGGCCACGCTTAATTTGTAGGGGAAGTGGTGGAGACGTGGAAGTACAGGTGAGCAAAGAATAATTGATATGATGATACAAGTATAGAAACTGAATCCTAGAGCATAAATGATGAGAGGTGCAGAAACATTAAGGTGAGTACTCTGCAGAATGTGTTCAGGGCAGATTGACAAGGACTTTCTTTCCAGATCTAATGATACTGAAGATTTAATGGGCAGTACTTGGAGACAGAATTTATTCTTCCAGGCTATTGATGCCTTCATAATTTGTGAGTGGCAGACTAAAGTAGGCCATAAAGGACTGTGGAAGGGCCATCAATAACCAAGTAAGAAAAATAATGTGCATCCTCTAAACACAGGCAGTAGTGAGTGCTGATGAATGAGCTGCAGAAAGGCAATGGTACGGTTCAGGCAGTTGACAAAAGACCAGGAAGGGAGCAATGTGACTGTGGCTGATGTTGAGGGCCATTCCTCAAAGGCATTGCAGTGTTGGGTCTGTTAAGAGCCCTGAAGTGGCACAGCATGTCTTTTCCTCTTAGCCAAGATGGGGAGCTGGGAAGGAAGGTGTGAGCTATGCAAGTCAATAGCCAATACCACCAGGCTTGGTTTGGAGACTGTGCTAGCATGTTGATGTAAGACAGGACTCTGCTCTGATTAAGAAAGGCTTGCTTGAGAGTCTGTGTGGGTATAATTCTTAGGATCAGCACAGTGCTCCCAGTGATGAGAATGAAGCATTTTTAAAGTTTAGAGAGTATGGACACTTGTGTCTGTGTCAGTGAATTTGTTCACTGGGATTCAGCTCGCTTAGTGGCACCTGGGTCATCATTATGTACCCGTGTGACTTAAATCTGTTCTTGCTGGAGGAATGACTAGACATTGAGGGCCTTTTGAGTTTAGCTGTGACTGAATTATATACAAAAATTTTAACTGCACTTTTCATCCAAGTCCACAAACAGCCCACAAACTTCCCTCTTCCTTATGACGTGGTTTGATGTTGCTTGCTTTACTTTGTGCATGGAGAAAACAAAGCTGGACAGAGCTTAGATGGTGTGCTGAAAGTCATGGCATGAAACAGCGGCAGAGTTAAGACTATTATCTGCTGTTGAGCTGTATAACCACAAGGCATGTTGGTCAGGACACATTGCCTAAATATGCAATAATTGATATTCAAAAATGGTGCATTTATTAGGGCATTTTCTGCAAATACTGAGAAAACAACCCAAACAAATTAGAATTGTTGATTGAATTTCTTAATTAATTCTTTTTCACTGCTCCTTCACACTAGACCCTTGACTTGGATTGAAGAAAGAGGACCAGGGATGAGACGTGAAAAGAAAATCAACTTTTGTTTCACAAGTGGTTGCCTGGAGAACCTCCCTGAAGCCCCAAGGTCTTCTGTGGGCCTTTTCATGCAGGATCAGAACCTCTTTGCCAAGAAACTGCTGGGCCAGGTCTCCAAGGAGGAGCTGGCTGCTGAGAAATGGCGAATTTTGCGGTGTCTTGACCTTGCCGAGGTGATCCAACAGTACTGTGAAGAGCCAGAGAAAATCTATTCCTGAGACTGCTCTTAGGGAAGGAAGAACACAGCAGACAGAAAAGCTGTAGGGCTAGAACTCACTGTTGTCATCAAGCAGCTGCTATTTCTGTTTAATTACCTTATTTTTGACTACTTGTGATTCCTGGGCTCTCCAGGTGTTCTGGAAGAGTCCGGGCTATACCCTGTGCCTTCTGGTTTGCACCAGACCAAAGCATTTCCCCTGATCTGATGCATCCCTGTCCTTTCAGGTAGTTAGGAACCTAGCAACAGGAACCTAGCAAGCTTTCCTGTGATTCAGATGGGAATATATCTGACAGTAGATCCTGCAGGACTGTAAATACTATATGTAATTCTCTCTCCCAGGGTCTGTCCCCCCATTCCAGATGTGTCTGGAAATTAACATCTCAATAGTATTCATGCACTGTTTTCAAGAATGAAGTTCCAGGTCCGTTTTCCACCTCTTCACTTGAAACACAGAACTTGTGCCACCGCAGTCTTGACCTTTTCTTCCAATTGCCCTGAATAGTTCTGTGTGTTTGCTCTGATTAGTAGTCTTGCCTGTTAGGTATTGCGAGGGGTGGGGGGGTGGTGGGGGGGTGGTTTGTGTGTTTTTTGGGTTTTTGGGGGGTGGCTAGTTTTCACACTAGAGGTCAACTATGATCAAATTAAATCTGTATTGGTATCAAACCAGAATAGATGAAGAGTCTTGTCTCTTGATAGAGAGGTGTTGATTTCATTCAGTTTCTCTGGTGCCCTGTGCCAACATAGAAATCTGTTCCCAGCAGATATGAGAAACATGCATTGAAATAATGCATTGTCTGCCTGCTCTCTACTGAACCTAAATATTTTTGGTTTTGTACTGGAAGCTGCATATTATTCTTCTTCATTTGTGTTCTAATTCAGCATGGGAGTGAATCATAGCAAAAAATACTAAGTGTCTTGCGTTTAAGAAAAGAAAATCATTAACACGCTCCTGGAAACAGAGAAATTCATTAGGAATAGTGATAAATTTAGAATAGCATTGTAGAAAACAGCAATTTGCAAATATATCCATGTGTTTATGTTGTGGTTCAACCCCAGCTGGCAACTAAGCATCAGGCAGCTGCTTGCTTATTGTACCTCAGTGGGATGGGGGAGAGAATCAGAAAGGTAATAGTGAGGGGGGAAAAAAGGTGGATTGAGATAATGACAGTTTAACAGCTAAAGCAAAAGCTGCACGTGCAAGCAGAGCAAAACAGGGAATTCATTCACTGCTTCTGATGGGCAGGCAGGTGTTCAGCCACTCCCAGGAAATCAGAGCTACATCACACAAGACAGCTGCTTGGGAAAACAATCACCTTCACTCTGAATGTCCCCCCTTCATTCTCCTTCCCCAGCTTTATATACCATATGGTATGGAATATTGCTTTGTGGTCAGCTGTCCTGGCTGTGTCCACTCCCAAATTCTTGTACACCTCCAGCCTACTTGCTGGTGGGATGGGGTGAGAAGCTGGAAAGGCCTTGAGGCTGTGCAAACACAGCTTAGCAATAGCTAAAACATCCCTGCGTTATCAACAGTTTCCAGCAAAATCCAAAACACAGCCCCATATTAGCTACTCTGAATCAAATTAGCTCTACCCCAGCCAAAACCAGCCCAGGTTATAGCATATGACACCTGTGGGAGTGGGTCTTTAGCATTTTTACTGTAGTCACAGGATCACATATGAAAACATTATCACTTCCCTAAAGAAGCATTTTAGTTTTAGAAGCCTAAGCACTGCACAATGCTATTAACAATTCCTCTGGTTGCCTTTTACTTTCTAATTACAGCATCTGCTGGTGCTGTATTAATACAGAAGCAACTTCAGTCTGTGCAATTGTTCTTTCAAACCAAAATAGTATTTCTTTTTCTATTTTAGCATTTGGGCAATTTTTTAATAAGGGAGCATATATGTTGTGAATGTATACATAATTGCAGCCAGTCAATATTGACAATTAAAAGTCTTCCTTTGGGTAAATGTTCATTCAGGAGTTGGATACAATTCAGTCTGCTGGAAACAAGAAAGAAAAATCTGTACAATTTTCTCCCAAATCAGTCAGATTTTAGCAATGACTGGAGCTTAATGTGTGAAGGTTGATGAATTCTGCATGTGACATTTGCTTAAATCTACCCTATCTGTTAAAATCAGTGAAAATTCTCATGTTGCCTTCAGTGGATTGAGACCCATGTGAGATGGCAGCAGATTTCTGCAGGCAGATCTGTGCCTGTCCACCCAAATGGATACCTTACTGAGTATTCACAGGGACTTCTGTGCCACTGTGTTGAACATGGCATGGGCAGATCTGATGCTCTGTGGGGGGGAAAAGTGGATTTTTGGCAAAAGACAAACAGTTCATCTGGGATTAGAATGGATTAGAATCTTCTTGTGTGTGTCTGCTAGGTATGACAGCCAGTGAAAGTTCCTGTTCCTTGATGAACTCCTCATCTGTGAATATAGGGTGAATGCCACTTGCTTACATGCTAATTCGTAATGGGTAGTTAGGGAGTGAGGGAAAAGAGAAAGGAGATTCACACATCTCTAGGCATCAGAATTAGCACATCTCCCTGAGCAGGCTCTGCAGTTGCTGGTGAGAGCAGTATTTCCCTAGGAAACAAATTCATGGGAGCTGTGTAGAGCAGCAGTATAATATTTGCAGTGAATTGTCCTCTGGAGAAGCTTGCTTCTCTAGAGAGCACCTGGGGAAATTAGCTGGTTAATTTGAGCTAGGGAAGGCAGATGTCTAGAGCTTGGATATCCCACACTCTCCTTCATTCCCCTCCCATTCCTTTCAGCTGACCTGCTTACCTACTACTGTCTGTCCTGCTCCTGGGAGCCTGCATCATTTAAATGGCTTTTCCTTCTGCCCTATGAATTTGCCAATGCACCATGATCGTTTGTATATGGGAGCTACTGGATGTCTAGTTCCAAATGTATGTACTGTTTAACCAGATGTTAAACTCACCAATAAAATACTGGAGCTCGTAATCATTCTTTTTCGTTCCCTTTGTCCTTCATTAGCAGTTCCCATTGCCTGTGCTGAAAGTGGCTCTGTTGCAACTGATTTTTTTCCTCTTTTCATTCCTCAAGGCCTGTGAAATCGTGCTTTAGAATATTATCAGACTGTGATAATATTCTAAAGACCTCAGCTGCCTTCTTCTCTTGTTTCAAAGTTCTGAATACATATGTGGTAGGATTTGTGACCTTACCTCACCTCATGAGCTCTCCCACAAAATCCCTGAACCCAGGCAGTTTTAGAGATACAGAGGTATGGAAAGGCAAGTGTAAGATGTGACATGAGCAGTTATTATATTCCATTCTTTAATATAGCTGATTTTCTACCAATTCTTCTGGAAATGACTGTACTCATCTGGCACACTCTAGGAATTCCTTTGCAGGAACCTTGTTAACTGTCTGATGCTATGAGTTTTCCTAGAAAATGTTATGATGCACAATGCTCCCACATGGAGATGTTCCTTTCCTGCCAGAGGCTGGAGATTGGCAGATGAGAGGTGTGGAATCACTAACTGCAGCAAGCTAGCTGAAACCTGGAAGAAGTGGCTTGATCCAGAGCCCTTCTCAGAGGGCTAGAGGTCATGGGGAGTGGAAAATTTCCAAAAAGCAAAGAAACTAGATATTGCTATGAGAAGCTGGAAAGCTGTGCGAGAAGTCTGGCTGAGATGGAGAGATGGGTATCGTTCTGGGATCAGCCTGAGAGCTTGTTCTGATGAACAAGCCTGGATCCTGGGTCCTGGGAGCAGGGTCTGATTTACCTTTGTGATTGCTTAGGGTTATCAGGAACAGTACGGCAACATGGGAGGTGGGATCAGGGGGAAGGCAAAGAGTACCAGGGGACCCCCACAGCAGCTGCTTGGGCTGGGATTATTTATGAGGAGGATGTCATTGGAACCTCCCCCCGAGCAGATCAGAGAGACAAGGAAGGGGGAAGGCAAGGGTTGGCAGCTGTGCAGACTGGGGCTGCTTTTCAAATGGTCCTATTGCATCAAAACCAGCTTTTTGAAATGAATAGCATGTTCAGAATGGCATCTCAGTAAAACTGGAGGGCTGAGTTGGGATTGCAGCTCCTCCAGCAGTTTGCAGAGGGGTCACGGTGGTAAAGACCAAACTGTACATTTGTTTTCAGGTGTCATTCAAGATGTTTGATCCCTTCAGGTCAGCAGTATGAGCCAGGGCCTTGGACATCCTCACAGTTTGTGAGTGATGCACCAAAGCGAAACTGGCAGCACTCTGTGCTGATGTAATTCATGCAGTAGCACTTACTGCTCCCCGAGGCATGTGGTGTGCTCTGTGCAACAGTAATAAAACACAACAGCCGGAAGCTAAGGATCTCCAGTAAAATAGTAACTCCAGTTTTTGACAGAGATAGAGAGGTATTTGGTTAGCCTTAAGTGCTGTAAGCTGCTATTTGTAGAGGCTGAATTAAATAAGGTTACAGGACTCTGTTGAGAAACCCATGAGAATTTTTGTTTAAAGAAGGGATGTTGAAGAGGTATTACCAGTAGCAGACTTCATCCCTAATCCTGAAGAACCCAGCCCTGAGATAGGAAGACGGAAGATGTCCATGCAGTACAATTTGGTTCAGTACAAAACACTGGCGCCAGCTCTGGCCAAGCTACCTCTGTTACCACAAGGGCTGGCTTGCAATGTAATTTCATCTGACCAGATGTGCACAGCTTCTCAGCAGAGCTGGCTGGCCCAAATGGAGCACTGGGCTAACTCATCATGCCAGGGAAACAAGCCCACAGCTCAGCCTGAAGCGCCCTTTTGGCTCCTTTGCCTTAGCAGCATCAACAGTAACTTCTTCCAGTTTACACTTACCTTTTGGGCTGCAAAGGGAACTGAAACACAGCTTCCAACCTGTGCTTTCTGCTTTCTTGCTGACCCAACCTGATTAAAACAGACAGCTTTTCTCTCACCCTTGAACATGGCATAAGTGACAGGGCTGCTGCATTGTGATGGCAACAAAGCTGCAAGGACCATTGTGGTGTTACCTGTTACAAAGCCCCAGGTTTAGTGCTTGTCTTCCACATCTTGGCAATAAACACACCTTACTGGTGCCCAGCTGCGTGCAGGTCAATAAGCAGAGAAATTTCAAACTAATAATTTAAATAAAATTGCCATCATCAGAAGATCTGAATAGTAGCCTGCAAAAGTACATGCTAGGACTTATAAAAATAAATGCGTCCTGATCTAATAAAAATCACTTCATCTACGTTACTACTTCAAAAAACTACTCTAAAACTTCTTACTCAGGGAATCTTAGATCTTGTTGTGTGCGAGCTGACTTTCTGATTTATCTGCTGCTGCTGTTATGACCTGCCTTCTGAAGTTCCTA